AAAAGGTGAGGCTGCTCAGAACAGAAAACACCCTACAGTATTTAAAACGCTTGCCCGTGATTTATGTAACTTCCAAGTGATCCACTCTCTGAAGGCTGTAAGGCTCACTTTGTAAGAGTTTGACTTTTTGTTAAATCTCCCAGCATCAGATGGGAGGAACAGCAGCTGATTGGCCCAAAATCTTGTGTTATTATAGTTGGAACAATACCCCATCTTTGTGCTCCACTTGTCTCCTTTTTCCTTGAGGACTTGTATAGCTATAATTCTTTGTATATTACTATTTTAATACCTATGTAAACAGTCCTATGCTCTAGAATGACTGTACTCACCACTTCTTCTGTGGATCATAAAACCTCTGAAGCAGCTGGACCATTGTGCTCTTACCACATCCACTGCTTCCAACCAATGCCACCGTTTGTCCACAGTCAATTTTCAGAGTGAGACCTTTCAAAACCTTGTGGTAGTTAAAAAAATAAAATGTAGAACAATCTCAAATTAACGAGATTCTGTCACTTAGGGTGACCAGAGGGCAAGTGTGAAAAATCAGGACAGGGGTGGGGGGTAATAGGTGCCTATATAAGAAAAAGCCCCCAAAATTGGGACTGTCCGCATAAAATCAGGACATCTGGTCACCCTACTGTCACTAAATCCTTCCAGATTTATCCCTGCTACATTTCAAAATGCACGCATTCCCATTGCAAATTCTGGCTTTGATCTTGTCTCATACCTCAACCACTGGAACCTGCCCTTCCTGACACCTCACATACTCTAATTTGTCCAGTGTTCTGCAGCAAAGAGTCATCTACTGTCATGATTCTGACCACACTCAGTCCCTCTTGAAGTCCTTCCATTGGCTCCTGCATGCCACGTGCATCACAGTCAAGCCCCTGGGCTCACCTTCAGGACCCTGCATAACTTTGCTCCTTCCAATCTCTCTTCTCTTGTCTTTTTTAGAGGCCACACCTTTCTTGCCTCACTCAGCTCAAACATTCCATTGGCTGACAACCCCTTTTTACATTCTTCTCCAACACTCTTCTCCATGCTTTCTTTTATGTTTCCTCTCTACGCATGGAACTCAAATCAACCACCTGACTCCAATCTGCCATGCTTCCATCCTGTCCTCTAAAGCACACAACTCTTTTAGCATAATACACAAGTAACATGCCATGTTTCAAGTTGTAGTCACAGTGACTACAACACAGCACAGAATAGGTGTTTCTCCTACCTGGACATCTGGTCTTGAAGGATAACTGAACTGCACATTATTAAATTCAAGTGCTCCCTTTATGTGATCGAGTTTGTGTCCATCTGAAGAAAAACTATCTATAGTGGGTTTCTGGGGAATGGAAAAAAAATAAAATTTAAGCAAATAATTTACAAATGCGCAGTTGAGAGAGGGAGATATCATTATAGCCTGAATATTTCATATTTTTATTCTACAGTTTAAAACATCTTCCACACCACACCCGTTTTAGCATTGGGTAGTTTGCAGTCTAAGGCTAGCTGACATAGTTACTTTGCTTTGGTAACTGCATTCTGTTCTTTGTAATTTCCTTTTAAGAGCCTGAACATAATAGTTCGTTCTAAGCGAGTTTGGTCTTTTTCCATTTGGCAACCAC